CCATGCCCGCCTCCACTGCCCACTCAAGGCCAGCCTTGAGCAGTGCAAGATTGAGCTCTCTTCAGCTGATGCCTGAGGCAGACGCCACACAGCTCTGGAGCTGGACGCAGCTTCCCCACAAGGACCCCAGCATGCCAGACAGCAGAGATGCCCCGCAGGACTGCCGGCCGGATGGGAGCTTGGGGACCACCCAAGAAAACCTGGCAACCAGGTAAGTCAGTGGTCGGTCGGGTCTCTGCTGGGACTGGAGCCAGGGTCTGTACTCTGCTGTGTGAACCTGGGCAAGCTGCTTTGCTCTCTTGGCCTCAGTTTCTCCATCTGGGCGTGAAGGCAAGGTCTGGATGGATTAAGTACTGGACTGGGATGTGTGTTGTGTGGAGCTGCTACTCAGTGTCCACTCCTCTGCGTGGCCAAGGGGGACTCCACTGAATGATGACTCACATGATTCGGAGGCTATGGCTGGATAGAGGAAGAATTTTCTAGTTACTAAGAATGTTCCCTATTTCATCGGGCATGTGGAGTCAATGACAGAGAAGGACAGGGGGAGTCAAAAGGTCTGGCTTCAGCTTGCTGTGTGACCTTGGCAGGCCACTGCCCCTCTGTGGGCTTCAGCCTCCCTGCCTGCCTGACTGTGGATGAAGGTTCCCCACAGTCCTTCTGCTGTATGTCCTAATCTGCTATCCAGAAGAAATAGGCCTAGGCCCTGACCGTCCAAGGTGTGGGGAACCCTGAGAAGGTCCTGGCCCTGGAGTTCCCCAGCCAAGAGCAGGGAGGAGGCAGACCCATGGAACCCCTGAGCCCACGAGGGGCACTTGACACAGGCCTTGGATGGTCAAAGGTATTGGCAGTGGGAGAGGAGATGCAAAGGAGGACAGGAAATTCAGGGACTGGAGATGTCTGGGTGGCAGAGTGCAGAGTGGGGGGAGAACAGGGATGGATGCAGGTTCTGAGCCCTCTGCAGGGACTTGGAGAAGTTGCCAGTGCATGAACCACAGCATGCGTGGCCATTGTTTTGGAGGGGGGGAGCGGGTTAGAGGAAGGAATGAAGGACAGAGCAAAAGGGAGTAAGTATGAATATGCCTCAGACACAGAGGATCCTGCATGGCTGGGCAGAGAACCCAGAGTGGACTCCTATCCGTCCAGAATTAGAGGCTCCTCACTGGCAAGGCCTCCATGAGCATGAAGTCCAGCCCCTCCCTGGATAATGGGCACCTTGAGTTAAGCTGACTGATACTCCCTCACCCACGGGTTCTGGATCTGTTCTGAGAACTGATTGTCCTGCCACCTCCCCTCCTCCCTGGAGACCAAGGCCCTACCCCCACGAGGTGCTCATAGGCACGCCTCTAAAGCTTCGTCCTGGACAATAAGTAACAAGGTCTGCTAGTTCTCAAGGTTCCCTGCCCCAATCAAGGAGGGGCCAAAGTGGGGTCAGGAGCCCAGTGTTTCTGAGGTCTGTGCCTCAGGCCCATGGTGACAAGCAGTGGGTGAGGGCCTGGACACCCTGGAGGAGGCTAGGCACCTGGGCTCACTGAGGCCTGGGCCTGCTTTGCAGACCCCACAAAAGGTAGAGCTCTGCCTGTGCCGGGAAAGGGAAGCAAGTGAGGGCCTGTGGGGGAAAGAAGACTGGAAACCCAGGGCTGCAGGGCCAGTCCTCTGCTCTCTTGCTTAGTGACTTTCTCTGAGCCTCAGTATCACCTCTGTGCAGAAGAAGACAAAAGGCCTGGCCCCTGTTGGCCTAGCAGAAAGGTTGGGCAGCCGGTGTGCAACAGTTGCTTCCAAAAGCTCAAGGGCTGCCCTCCCTGCTGCATCAAGAACTCTCTTCCCAGAAGGCTGGGAGCCCCTCTCCGTGACTCTGGGTAAGACACTCTCTTAAGCCTCAGTCTCCCCATCTATCCAATGGGGAGGATACTGCTTGCTCTGTCAGCTCTGCAGAGTAGCTGTGAGGAAAGAACTCGGAGCCCTTGTTTCTATTGTGCTAAAGTCAGAGACAGTGACAACTGCTGCTCTGCCCCTCCCAGCTGACCCCCCACCTCAGGCTGCCCCTCTCTCTTGGCCCCAGGGCTGGAGCCGAAGGGCATGGGCTGTGTCTGGAAGGAAGAGGCCAGGCTAGGAGAGGCAGAACCAGCTGGGCCAGAACTGCAACAGTCTGTGCCCTTTGAGGCTGTGGCTGTAGACCACACCATCCATCAGGGGTGCCCACTGAGTGTATCCAGTAGAGACACCTGCCTCTCTGAGCCTGAACAAGCTCAGGCTGGAGGAAGGGTTTCAAAGGACCTGGAGAAGGGGGGATGGCTCCTCCTGGGTTTGGAAGGTGTGGATGCCTGGGTGGCAGGGGTGGCAGGCAGGAGCACTGTGTGGACTGAGGGTGTGGTTGTAGAGTAGTAATGTGCCTATAAGACAGGGCAAGTTAGGGCCAGGCTAACTTCTAGTCTGGATAGGCTGGTGTGGCCAAACGAGGGGCAGCTAAGCATGAGGACAGCCGGGCCAGAGAACAAGCAGAGAGGAGCCCCGGACACGGGGAGGCAGCAGAAGCCTAGGGAGAGCCTGGTTTGGGAAGGTGAATCTGGCAGTGGTGTTGGAGTAGGAGCGAGATGGAGGCAGGAGTCCAGGACGTGGGAGCCCGCAGGGTTGAGTCTGGCCCAGGGGAAGGTTGGTGAGCTCGGCACCGACCATAATCCCCTAGCTTCCAGCTGCCTCCCCTGCACTGCCTGCCCAGAGAATGAGAGCTAAGAGGAGCCCTCTCAGAGCCAGGACGCATTTCTCAGAACTTGTGCCTGCCATTAAGCGATGCATGACTGTAGTGATGACAGACACAGGTAACTGCCAACTGGTGTGTTGGTCATCAAGAAGAGGGCAGCGTGAAGCTTGGAGTTGATATAGTTCCAACCTAGATAGCCCTACACACACCTAGGCTGTGTGGTACAGCCGACTGCTCCTGGGCCTAAAACAACACAACATTACATCAAGGACAGGAGAAAATGGTGCAACCAAGAGACAGTCACCATGAGGTGTAATGAGGCAGCTGTAGGGGTTACTGTTTCACAGCAAACTTTTTTTGTTTTATAAATAGAAAGCGTATGCTCTTAAATAATGATAAAAACAGTAGTATAGTAAACACAAACCTATAGCATAGTCGTTTATCATCATTATCAAGTACTACATGTTGTACATGGTTGTATCTGCTGCACTTTCATGTGTCTGGCAGCGCAGTGGGTTCGTTTGCACACAAACCGTCACACACAGTGAGCCATGTGTTGTGCTACGTGTTGAGATGGCTGCAGTGTCACTTGGCGGCAGGAGTTTTTCAGCTCCATCATCATCTTATGGGACCACCATTGAAGGTGAGGTCTGCCCACCTAAACATCATGGCGTCATCAGGACTTATTACATGTATCTTACTTTCGCACAAAATTTTTCAAAGTATAGTTGGGGGAGGGGTGTACTAACAGGCTCTGCTGACAAATGATGGGCAATGGGTGCAGAGGCCCATGGGATGCCCCTCGTATATCTCCTTTTTGCTTTCCCATTACTCCCTAGTCCTGAGACCATTGGGTGTAGCCTGGTAGTTAAGAGCATGAACTCTGATTCACCCTTACCTGAATTTGTATCTCGACTCTGCTAATCAGAAGGCCTTGCACAAATTACATAAATATCTCTGTACCTCAGTTTCCTCATCTGTAAAGTGGGGACAGTGACAGGAGCTATGTTGTTGGGGCTATTGTGAGGATTGAACATGTCAGTTGGGGACAACATTACTGGGCACACAGTGAGTGCTGGGTACATGGCAGCTGCTAGCTGTTACTATTATTGTTCCTGCTTTGTTATTGTTTCCCCTACCCAACAGGCCTAGGAGCCTGGCAACACCTTGCCTTGGAACCTTGTCTCTGACCGAGTGGGGTGCCAGCCCAGGCACCATCATAGTCACACAGAAACCAGAAAGCCCTCTGTCTGTGACATAGCTGAGGAAACTGAGTCCCAGACAAGACCAGGGGCTTTTCCAAGGTCAACCCATGGAGGCAGAGCCTGGGTTAGAATCCAGGTGTCCCAGCCCCCAGAGCACGTTATCTCGTGCACGACCACACTGTTGCCAACTCCTTCCCGGCTTTCAGGGCAACTTGCTGATTGTTGCTCCGGCTTAATGACTCGGCTTAATAGGGTTGGACACTCTGGGCACTGCCAGCTGGGTTAGAAGTGAGCTGGCTGGCTGCACCGCCCCCACCCACTATGGCAGGCGCCAAGGTGAAGCCTCTGGGGCTGAGGCCTCCACTCCCACTGGGGCCTTGGACTGGGCCTCAGTGACAGCCAAGAGCCCTTCTGGTGGATCTGGGAGGATATGTCTTAGACCAGCCCTGCCCTCCTTTCCAAGAGACCATGGGTCCCCAGAAGATCTCTGCCATGGCCAAGCCCCCTGTGAGTTAGAGACCAAGGCTGGGAGAGGTCCACAGCCTGGATCTGTCACTCGACCTTGGATTTGTGTCCCTCTGCACAGCTGTTCCCACTGCCCATTGCGCAAGATGCTTGCCCTCTGCCTCTCATGAAATAATCACACCTTTACCCCTTGCCAACTTTCTCCCTTCAACTTAATTTTCGCCCCCTGGCCCAGCCTGGGTCTGGTGGCTCCATAGTGACCTTGAATGCATCTTTATTTATTGACCATCAATCTCTGAGCCTTTGCAGCAGGGCCCAGGCTCCCTTTGCTCACCTCTGTCCCCATCCCTGCCACTATGCCCTGTGCCTTGACCTTCAAATGGGGGCTTAAAATTTCCCCCTAAGGCCCTGTGGGCTGCCTCTACTTTTTCACCTCATCCAACCCCATTCACCCCAGAGGCAATGTGAGATTTTGGAGTCAGGGTGGGGATCTCTTGGGTGGCTGTGAGGGAGGTATCCAGGAAGCAGAGGCCCAGTTTTAGAAGACGCAAGTCTGATGCCACAAGCCTGCGAGTCTCTGCAACAAGGGAGGAAGTAGAGGGGACATTAGGGGCAAAGGGCACGGTGCAGGGATGTTTGTTACCATGGAGTAGGGCTCTCCAGGGGAGTGGGTGAGACGATTGGCTGAGTTTTATGATGCAAATACTGGATAAATCCAGTGTACATGGAGTCCTGGTTTCAGAGCCGGTCCTGGAGACCTGGGTCTCACGTGCTGGGTTCTGTCTCTGGCTGGGCATGTAACACTGCAAAGTCTAAAGGTCTCTGTCATATCATCTGGAAAAT